GTCGGTTGTTGGGTGGGTGGTCGGTGTGTAATAACGTTACGGCGTGCGTCGGTGGTGGTGGTCGGTGTCGGTGGCGTCGTGTGTCGTGTGTCGTGTGTGTGTGTGTGTGTGTGTGTGTGTGTGTGTGTGTGTGTGTGTGTGTGTGTGTGTGTGTGTTTGTGTGTGAGCATGTGTGGGTGTGTGTGTGTAAGAGTTGCAAGATTGTTGACAACAGCAAAGACTGACAATTTTTTCTGACCACATCTGACCTTTTTTTCTGAGCCAATCACGCTACTATAATATGGATATAAAACTAAAACTTCTTATGAGTTTTAATTGGTGTAAATCAGTGAAAGCACTTGGTACTTTTTATAAACGCCTTTATTAAAAAAATCAATTGGTTGCTAAAATTACTGATGACTTTTATATAATAGCAAAATGGACAATTCCAATATCAAATGGCCTGGAGAAGGTTATAAACTTCACATGCTAGAAGTAGAAATATAATAATTGAACTATCATTGTGGCATTTTTATATACATCTGGCTGCACTGTACAGTATAAATCCTGTGCACTGTTTAATTGTTTTATAATACTTTTATAATATAAATTTCCATAAGTGTAAATAAAGTGATTGAATTGAATAGAAAGACCAGGAGCTTGCTTACTATTTTGGCCAAACATCTTTCTGTAGGATGCTGAGATGTGACTCCCATTACGCAATTTCTCATTATGAGCGGAAAAATTTGCTGACAGCTTTTTACCCTATTAGCTCACTGCATTCCCTCAAATAACAGTTGTGCATGATAGTTGTGTATGAAAATCGCCTTTCTATTGTCTTTACAGGATCGTAGCTCTAACCCATTTTGCCTGGAGGGGGGCAAAGCCACGCGCATGGTACTCTGGGAAGGTGACCACCATTGACCATGTAAAATTAATGTATCCGCACTTCCCTGGGAGTGGGAGGGCAACCGTCCCCTTTGCCCCTCAGCTAGCTACGGCCCTGCTTTGTCTGTCTATATATGCCACCTGACATAACCTCTAGCTCACAGTATACGAGTATAACATATCAACCACGTCACCGAGTGATATATGACACCACTTGCTGACACTTTGCTTCTGCAGCTGCAATAACATCGCAGACTTGGCAGACAGCTAGGATGGCATAAGTGGGAAATTCTGTAATGAAAGATAAAGAGGATACAGTTTAACCTCAATCGCACACTACTGCGGATGTAGAAATATATATCCCAGGGCCGAGTTTGTACCAGAAACTATGATAATGGACACGACCCAATCCTATAGTTTAGCGAGGCCCAATCCACAGGCACTTGGGCCGTTTCAATAATAAAATGATGGAATTAATAAATACAACTTGTCAGTACTAGACCTACCAGTACCAGCTAGTAATTGATTTGACCTAATATCTTCACTTCAATACCGTCCAATACACCGCTGCAACACACATTTTGCGCGCGCAAGAGGTTGAAAGCTTGCTTCGTCGCTCAGTGACATCACGTCCGTACGGACTCAAACTCCTGTTGCATTGTGCGACCCTAACCCTAACTCAAAAAAATAACCCTAACCCTATTAAAAACAAAATTAAAATTTTGTACAGTCGAAACTGTGACGTCACTGAGCGACGAAGCAAGCTTTCAACCTTTTGCACAAACTGCATGCAGCGCCCCCTTCGCACAACGTTCTCCGGATACGTAGAATTGAGCCAGAGCGAGAGCGCCATCTGTCGTGGAGTTTGCCTTTTGCATAGCGCCGATGGAGCCGCTCTTGCCTGGAGCTCCGCCTTGCATAGCGCCGAAGGAGCAGTGTAGGGAGGGGGAGGGAGGAGGAAGTTTAGTAGTGGTAATGGTAGTTGGTAGTTGGAAGTTTGGTAGTTATAGTAATGGTGGTACTACTAGAGTAGTACTAGTAGGTGGAGTAGGGAGAAGCTAGTGAAGAATGAGGAAGGGCAGAAGGGAGAAGCTGGTGGGGAAGGAGGAGGGGAGAAGCTGGTGGAGAAGGAGGAGGGGAAGAAGATGGTGGAGAATGAAGAAGGGGAGAAGGGAGAAGCTGGTGGAGAAGGAGGAAGGGGACAAGGAGGGGGAGAATAGAGCTGGTGGAGGAGGAGGGGGAGAAGGGAGAAGCTGGTGGAGAAGGAAGAGGGGGAGAAGCTGGTGGAGAATGAGGAAGGGGAGAAGGGAGACCGGCCTGTACCACAACTAGGAGAGTGCTGGCGATGTTCATGTTCCACTCATAAGCCCAAAACGCCGATAGACCGCGTAGCGCCATCTGGCGGTGGCGTTTGCAAGTTAATTTACGACGCTAAGCCAGGGGCCGGTTTCACCAAGCGTACAGTGTACCTATATATACTTAACTTTAATTATGATTAAATACTTAAGTACGCTTCCTGAAACCGGCCCCTGATGTTTACCAGTTACAACTAAGTCTAGACTAAGTTCAACCGTTTAACTACAACTTTCAAGTACAAGTTCAACTTCAAGTTGAAGTAGACACTTACAATCATGTGACAAGTTTATCACTAAGAATGTTTCGTGAAGTCATTGCGTAAAGTCATTATTTTTTATTATCAGAATCACAGGCACTTGGAGCGTTTCAATAAAATATAATGCTAAATAAATACGAAATCTATTTACTACCAAAGTCGAGCTTCTGTTTCTATATTCTCTTTCACCTATTATTGCTGACAATTTCCTACAAATGCCGTCCAAACGCTCGTCTGCAACAAACGCTGGCTGCCGCCATGGCTGCCGCAGCGCCGCTGCACACTGACACATAAATATAATATATACCAAAACATGAAAAAGGTTATATGGGACAGAATTATTCGGTCTAAGTAAAGCCCAAAATATTTATACCATGTTTGTGGTCACCTGATCGTTTCTGACTAAGACAAAGTGCTTGAAAAAAAACTTATAATTGTCTGATTTCACCAGCAGCTATTAAAAAAATCGATTAAAACGTTATTTGTTGCTTTTACCAGCCTTGTTTTGTGTTTATTTGCTCAGATAACAAAGAAATATTTTGTTTACATAGCCATAGACTGTGATATACTGATATAAAAACTGTGAGCGAAGTATCATTTAATTACCGTGAATGCACGAGTTTCACTGTAGTTCCCTGGTGGTATATACTACATGTCGCCAGGTAGAAAATTAATAAAATTGTTTACTTTCTAGGCGTGGGTGTGCGTGTGTGCGTGCGTGCGCGTGCATGTTCGTGTGTTGCAATTCTGTTAATTCTATTAATGATGTAATGACATATTGCTGTATCACGTGGGATACTGCGAAAAAAGGAGGTGGAGATCGACAATTCTGATGTACACATGCGACGCATTCGTTTTTGCGGAGGATGAAAACAGAAGCGCTTATGCTAGCGTGATGAAGAAATTAGACATCCATTTTGTGCCTAAATAATACGTAAAATTTAAACATGCACCACTGGCACGGCAAAGTCGGCACGGACATGTTCCACTGGCACGGCAAAGATCTGCGGAAAAATATTGATGATGGAGTCATACTTCATAGCATTATATGTTCCATGAGTTTACAGCTCACAAAGACAGCTTTATTCGCGACAAACTGGTGATTGAACAGAGTGATAAGGAGGTCTCGGTTGCTACAAATGGAAACAGACTTGACTCTTGCAAATAGCAAACGAAATCATTCGATACCATAAAATTATGAAGTTGCAGAACTCACAGAGGCCGGAGTCACATACGACAGCAGGAGCGTCACACTATTACGGGAATGAATCTTTTCCGGATAATTAGTTGTGTGCCTATGTGGTAAAGCCCGGTATGCACAATCGAGTCGTTAGTCAGAACTTTTTACTCGTGGATTCGACTTAGGCACCCAAGACGTCCAACAGTTCGACAGGGGTCGAAATAAGCGATGGTCAGATGGTCCGGGGCCATCAAATAATCAGGAGGACCATCAGATTTTCAAAGTCAATGATCCGACGGACCATTGAATATTTTGGTCCCATTTTACGGTAATTTTCTTTGAAGTTTCCACGTGCAATATTCCAAGGATAGTGAGGATTATGTTGAAGAGGAAGATGAACAAATAATAGATAAGATGGACATGATGGAGTGTGCCAAGAAGGCTTATAGTCGCTTGAATTAACTGCTTGACTGAAGGAATGTTAACTGTATTAAACAAATGAATGTGCTTCTAAGAAATATTTGAGACATGCTATATTCCGGTGTTATGGGTTCAACTAAATTTTACTGAAACAACTTTATTAACCAGTATAGTCCTGTGGACCATCTCGTTTATCTGCGGCAGCACATGGGCCATGCGTTTTAACACTGTCATTACCATGCATGCACTCTACGCCGACCCGCTTCTACACACCGAACAGTCAGATACTAAAACAGGCAACTGAACACACCCATACCTGGGACTGACTGAATCTCTGATAACCTGCACTAGAACCCGGAAGGCCACTGCAGTCTCAGCCCTTTTGAGACGAACACTGAGCTTCTGTCCTGATACATGCAGAGCGGCTAGCATATATATTATATAATACCAGGGGTTAATAATGACAAAATGAAAAATTTGTCATTATTAACCCCTGATAATACTGGTATATAGCACTAGTAATTAAGGTGACTAAGGTCCATCACGGAGTATGGAGCAGTAGTGTGCATGGGATCCTTATTTGAAGAAAGACTGGAGAAACTGGAGCGTATGCTGCGTAGAGCATCTCGCTTCCTATCAAATATGTGATGACTATAGATCCCGGGATCCAGGCAGCATGACAAAGATGCCACTGTAAACCTATCTACCATGGCTTCACGACATAGGGTCGGTCATCAAACTCACAGTATACTACAAAGTGGTCGATGGGTTAGTACCAGTCCTCCCTGCTGAAAATTTTATAAAGCCATTAAAATCTAACAGGAAAATTCAAGTTAAAAAATTCACAGACTTGCGAGACTGTACCTATGGGCGATAGCAGGGGTGAATAATGACATTCGTCATTACTTCTGATAATAGGGAAGGCAAGCCAACAATCAATCTATAGTTGTTTCATAGTAGGTGATCACAGTACATCAGAGTAATTTCGTAGGTCATTATTTATGAAAAACTTACTGGAGTCATCTACCAAAGGACGTGTCAACAGCCGCGTCATCTAAAACCCTAACAGCAGTGGTATGATGGTGAGAGATGTGATGGTAACTATGGTGGAGAACGAAGCTTTCAGGTTCTGCTGATAAACGCGTGCCTGCGGGTCTGCTCCCTTCTTCCGGTGTATTTCACACTTACTTGGAACAGCTCTGTTTATTGTTGTTGTTCGTTCTTCTATTGGTGTGCTGTGTGGAGAGTGGCGAGAATTTAGGAAAAACCAGTTTTCTCCGTTTGTGGAAATAAGTGTAACAATTATATATATTAGTAATACATATAGCGTCTATTTATACGAACCCGACACATGTCAACGAATGCACGCGCGCGCGGACACGCACGCGCGCTCGCACACACACACACCCACACCACACACACACACACACACACACACACACAAAACACGCACAGCACGTACGTGCACGCGCATGCACGCACGCACCCACTCACGCCCAAACAAACACGCATGCACACACGAGCGCACACAGACACGAATGCACGCACGCGCACGCACAAACAGACGCACGCGCGCGCACAGGCACGAATGCACACACGCACACACACGCGCGCGCGCACACACACACGCGCACATACGCACGCACGCACACACCAGTATACACGATATAACGATGCTCGCTGTAGCATCATCGTCATCCCGCGCTCAGGAACTCGGGCACCTTGTAGCCGAACATGAGAAAATCAGGCCGATAAGTCTCGTACACCTTCGCAACGAGTTCCCGCGGGAGGGCGCCATAGTAGCGCATCAGCAGCTTCTCGGCGCTGGTGTCGTTGTGGGAGACGAACAAATATTTTCCCGACAGTTTCACGGCGCCATCGATCCCCGCCGCCGCCAGAAAGTCGCCGCTCTCCTTCTCCATGTTCTCGTACTTGCCGACGAAATGGTAGTCGGCAACGCACGGACTGCACAGGTGGGCGAACAACGCCCAGTGCTCGTTGAACAGCCTCGGCTCGGAGTCGACGAGATATTGCAAAAACTCCCGAAAGGTAACGCGACGATCGTCGCCGTCGGCGACCGCGCGGCCGGCGTTGGCGGCGATGGCGCGTCGATGCTTCTCGAATTTGCCGATGTCGTCGTCGTGGTCGAGTTTGTCTCGGTAAGCGCTCAGCAGACGACTGAACGGGTGTCGCACGAAAATCAACTTCTTATAGTCATACATGACGTCGGACTCGGCGCGTGCGTCGAGCGTGTACAGCTGACGCAGCACTCCCGTCGTCATGACGCGCCGATGCACGTTGAAGCCCGCCATGCGATCCAGCCTCTCGGCGTTGACGATGACGTCATCGCGCGGGGATGCCGCCGCTGTGTTCACGGCGAGCAGTATCCGCTTCCAGCTGGTCGAGGCGACCTTGGGGATAGCGCAGTAGGCGATTCTGTGCGCGTCGTCGGCGTACGTCTGCGTGCGATAGTTGAACTTGCCGCCGAACGTGACGTTGGCGTACCGCTGCGCACAGACGCGCCGCACGTCGTCTCGCCGCTGCTCGTAGATGGCGCTGGTGTCGCGCTGCCGCTCATAGATGGCGCCAGTGTCGCGCTGCCGCTCTCTGAGGCCGTCGTTGACGTGTTGCACCATTGACGCATGAGTATCTGGAAATGTATAGAAAAACAGCCATTTATGTATGCGTGCGTGCACATGCGCGTGCCTGTAGGTACGCGTGTGCGTGGGTGTGTGCGCGCGCGCCGTGCGTGCGTGCGAGCCTGCGCGTGTTTCTCTCTCGCCAGCTCTACTCACGTGGTCATTGATCTTTAGTCCCACGAACGGGAAGCGAGAATCGGACACGCTTTTAACCTAGAGTAAATAGACATGTGCGGGAATGCATCGTTTCCGTGTAACTATAGTTGTGTGCCCATGGGATACACAATTGTGTTGTCACTTGTCAGTCAGAGTTTTTCACACGTGAATTCGATTTAGAACGGGAGCGCAACAGTAGCCTTCTGACAATTGTTCACCGTTGCACTATTTCGTCTCTATATAGAAAAGGCCTTCTTTCGATTTTTTTTTGCGGTAACATAGGGCACTATAGTGTACTAATTTGCACGATGCACGCAAGGTAGGTGCTTCGTAGATGTCTAGAACAAATGAGAAGTGAGATTGGTCTCGTCGACTCGTGTAATTGTGATATTCCATCAAGCGGCGTAGCCATGGTGTCCGGTCTGCCGTTTTCGTGTTTGGAACGGAATCTGACTACTTGCTAGAAATGCGCATCGTTCGCATCGTTCGCATCTGCCCCCATTCACACCAGGGCCCCGATCTCACTACGCTCGTACTACGCTCTAAGAGCGTGGTGGAAACGTGTAGAACGCAGTATGAACGTATATGGACGTACTGCGATCGCGATCGTGTCACCATGAGCGTGGAGAGCGTGGCCAAACTTTGAACATGTTCAAAACAATCGTGGTGCGAGCGTTGGCGGAAAGACAGCGCAGTGCGGGCCGTATTTAGAGACGTGGAAGGCGTAGTACCGCACGTAACTCCGAGCGTAGTTACGAACTTAATGATCGTATGCAAGCGTGTCGGGTGGCCGTGTGAAAATTGTCCAGGGCCGTTCTGCAGCACGAACTGTCATAAGCTTTTTCAATCCACGCTGTTAACTACGCTCCATCAGATGTCTCTGCGACTGACCACGCTCCTCGCTATGACGATGATGCGTCTCTAGCAAGCTGCGACCGCGTTGTACCTACGATCTGATAACCTACGTCCGACACGCTCAGACCACACGGCGCGTTGTGGCGTTCGCATTACCGTGTTAAGGCGCGCGACACAACTACGGCGATTAATCGCGACTAAATCGGGCCGACTAAACGCGCGATTCACGTCGCGGAGTCGAGATGTAACACACTAGCCGACTTTAAATCGGGCGACTAAATCGGGCGATTAATCGCCGCGTGAAAATCCGTGCCTAGTCGTGCATGCATGTGCACGCTAGAGTGCGTGCGTTGCGTGCGGTGTGCACGTACACGCTGGCGTGCATTCATGCGTGCGTGCGTGTATATGTAAACGTGCGTGTGTGCGTGGCGCTGTGTGCGTGGTTGTGCGTGCGTTAGTACGTGGCGTGTGTGCGTATGCACGTATGCGTGCGTTGTCGTGTGTGGCGTGTGCACGTATCACATGCGTGACGTGGCGTGCGTGCGTACACGTGCGTGACATGTGTGCGTGTGCAGCGTACACTTGGCGTGTTTGCGTGCGTGCGTGTGTACAGTAACACGTGGGCGTCGCGTGCGATGCGTGTCGTGGCGTGTGCCAAGTATCACGTGCGTGCGTGCGCTGCGTGCGTAGGCGTGCGTGTAGTACGTCACACGTGCGTTCGTGGCGTGGCGTGCGTGTGCGTGTGAAACTATAGCACGTGCGTACATGCGTGGCGTGCGTGTGCAGGCGTACACGTGCGTCGCGTGCGTGCGTTGCGTGCGTGTGAACGTACACGTGCGTGCATGCGTGCGTGTGTCGTGTGGGCACGGTAAGTGCCGTGCTGCGTGCGTAGCACGTGCGTGCATGTGTGCGTGTGCACGTACACCGCCGTGGCGGCGCGTGAGCGTGCGTGTGCAAGTACACGTGCGTGCGTGGCGTGCGTGCGTGTGTACGTCACGTGCGTTCGTGGCACGTGCGTGCGTGGGCGTGTGCAACTTAACACGTGCGAGCATGCGTGCGTGCGTGTGACGTGCACGTGCGTGGCCTGCATGCGTGTGTGAAGTGCGTGCGTGTTCCACGTAAGCGCGTGCCGTGCGTGCGTGCGTGGTGTGTGTGCAGGTACACAGTTCGTGCGAGGCATGAGTTGTGCGTGCGTGTGCACGTAAACACGGGCTTTCGTGCGTGCGTGCGTCGCGTGTGCCACGTTTCACAATGACTGCGTGCATGCGTGCTGGCGTACGTGCCTCGCGTGCGTGTGCACGTTCACCCTAGCGTGCATGCGTGCGTGCGTACGTGCCTGCGTGCAGTGTGAGGTTACAAGGCGTGCGTGCGCGTGCGTGGCGTGGCGTGTGTGCCGTTGCAAGGTACACCGTGGTGTGCATAGTGTGCGTGCGTGCGTAACGTGCGTGTCGTGTGCATGTGTATGGCAGCGTGCATAGCATGTCCCACACCCGTAGAATCGTGCGTGACGTGCGTGTGCACGTACATCGTGCGTGCATGTCGTGCGTGCGTGGCGTGTGCACGTACATCGTGCGTGCATGAGTGCTGCTGGCGTAGGCGTGCGCTGCGGCATGCGCTAAATTACATGACATGGACAATGACTAAACATCGAAACATCGCTATTACTCCAGTATCCATTGAAACTAACTCTGATTGGCTGATGATTGTAGCAATCAGGGCGATTTTAATCGGCACGCCGCCGACAACACCTAGGCGATTAAATCGGGCGACAAAATCGGGCGATCTAATCGCCCGATAAATATCAAACGTATTTGAATCTCATAAAAGGCCAGGACAACTAGGCGATTTAATCGAACCGAATGAAATGCCCTGAAATCGCTAGTGTGTCGGCACTCAACTCGCCGCCAGATTCATCGCCGCAGATTTCATCGGCATAGATCAAAACTTTTGATATTATCGGCGATTTGTCGCCCGATTTAATCGGCCTAGTGTGTCCGGGCCGCGATAAACATCCGCCGATTGTACAATTCCATGCAGCCAATCAGAGTTGTCAAATGATACTGACGTAATAGCGATGTTTCATGTCTCAGTATGTCCATAGTCAAATGTAATCAGCGATGCACGCAGCGCACGCACGCACGGCAATGTGTACGTGCGACACGCACGCCCCCACACTCATGCACGCACAGTGTACGTGCACGGGACGCCACGCCATGGCAGCGCACGTGTGAGTGCGAGGCCATCCACGCACGCGAGCGTCTAGCGTGCACATGGCATGCAACCACGCCGCACAGTGTAACATTGCACACCACCACGTACGAACGCACGGCACACATTGGCAGCAACGTGTACCTGGCACACGCTACCACCCACGGAGCACGCAC